TATTTAAAGGCAGGAAATTTGTTTCCTTTTTCTAGTTTTCTATGTCTGCATACAGAACGGTTATAACCAGAGATCCAGGTCTTCCATTTGCCACAGAATAATGAGGATTTTTCTCCTTTAAAGAAGAAATCTGTGATCCAAAAATCACAAATTTCTCCTTTAAGTGAGAAAAAGACAACAAACCACAGGTTTCCCCTTGCAGGCTGGCAGCCTTCCAGCCTGCAAGGGGCTGTTTGGGGCTGGTGGGGGGAGAAGCAGCCTCCGCTGGGGTGCACACAGCAGCAGAAGCCCCCTGTGCCCCTGGACAAACCGCCTGGGCTTGATCCTCCCACCCATCCGGCCAGGGCCCGTCACTTTACCCCTGCTCCTGCCTCTGCCGCAATCTGCCTCTCACCATGGTGGGCCTCAATCTGCCCCTCCCTAACCTGCTGGGCTGGGGGGGGGCATGCATGTGCATGCACACTCATACTCAGCCCCCTGCCCAGCCTCACATAGACTGCAAGAGGCTCCATGATCAATCAGTTGATGACCACTACTGTTAAGTAGTTTAAAGAAAAAAGGTAAGTGATGTGTAAGCGTCCATAATCCTAGTTTTCATCATGCATTTTGCACATATGATCTCTGCTCCTTAAATGCCTGTCACTGATGTCCCATTTCCTGTACTGTCCAGGCACTCATCAGAAGCATCTACAGGACTTTGAAGCAAATCCAGCAGTGTGGAAGGAGCAAGTGCTTATATTTGCTGAAGTAGGACGGATTACATGATTAACAGCATGTGGTCAGAAGACTGGATGAACAGAACTGGTTATAGAAAGTAGCATCAACCCAGGGAAGTAAACATCAAAGGTCAGTAAAGCCAATCAGCCACAGAGACAAGGAAAAGAGACGGAAGTGAAATGATAGGGACTGTGGGCACAGAGACAAGAAAGGAGTGAAGTGGTAATTAAAAAGCAGAAGAAAAAACAAAAACAGGACAGACTCAAGAACACCAAACCTATGAAGTTGAAGTTGGTTCCTTATTCCCGGTTTCCTGTTCCTTATTCCCAGTTCCTTTTTCAAAGCTAATCTAGACCCAATAAAAACTTGCTATTAATGAATTACACATCCTAAAGACACAAAATTAATCAGCTATGCATATATACTAATTAATATGTAAAATATGTCACAGAGCCCTAAATGAAGGTCAGATTAGGATGGGATTATGGGGCAAAATGCTTCTCGGGCCACCCCAAATTTCATGGCGATGCCACTTGGGGGCTGTCCCAAAGAACCATGACCACAGTCCCACCTGGCCCAAAGCACGATTTGACCATGCCAGGCTGCCGACTAACAGTCCCCATACCCACTATACTAAGTATAATGATTTGAATAAGGAACCGGCTTTCAGGATGGGATTATGGTGAGAAATTCTGCTTGAGCCACCCATCAGAATACCTCTGCATGACCGGGGGACCGTCCTGGACATCTGTGACTAGAGGCTTGCCTGACCCAAAGCGCGGTTTGGCCGTGCCAGGCTGCCAACGGACAGCCCCCCAGCCACTGTGCTAAATACATGGAACCGAATAAGGAACTGGATTATGGCCTGGGATTATACCCAGAAATCCTTCTTGGGCCACCGCAGGCCACACCTTGGTGCCACCACGGGATGTTTCTGGACATCTCTGAATAGAGACCTGCCCGGCCCAAAGTGCAGTTTGGCTGTACCAGGCTGCCAAAACACAGCACCCCAGGCACTGTGCTAAATTAATGGCCCTGAATAAGGAATTGGATTTTGGCTGGGATTATAGCTAAAAATCCTGCTTGGGCCATCCCAGAACATGTCTCTGTGCCACCAGGGGACTCTCCTGGACGTCTCTGAACAGAGACTTGCCTGGCCTAAAACATGGTTTGGCCGTGCAAGGCTATGAACAGACAACACCCCCCCAGACAATGTGCTAAATATCTGGAACCAAACGAGGACCTGGATTTTGGGCTTGGATTATACCCAGAAAACCTTTTTGGCCACCCCACGCTGAGACTTTGTGGCACCAGGAGACTCTCCTGGACATCTCTGACCACAGACTTGCCCAGCCCAAAGCACAGTTTGGCTGTGCCAGCCTGCCTACTAAAAGCAGCCCAGCACAGTGCAAAGTATATGGATCCGGATAAGGAACTGGAATTTGGGATGGGATTATACCCAGAAATCCTTCTTGGGCCACCCCAGACCATATCTCTGTGCCACTGGGGGATGCTACTGGACATCTCTGATGAGAGACTTGCCCAACCTAAAACACGGTTTGGGCATGCCAGGCTGCCAGTTGACACCACTCCCCAGCCACAGTGCGAAGTATATGGACCCAAAGACGGAACTGGATTTTGGGCTGGGATTATAGCTAGAAATCCTTCTTGGGCCATCCCACGCCATGCCTCAACAAATCTGTCCTCAGCAATGTGCAGGAGAGTCCCCCAATGCCACAGAGGCATGGCATGGGGTGGCCCAAGAAGGATTTCTAGCTATAATCCCAGCCCAAAATCCAATTCCTTCTTCAGGTCCATATATTTCGCACTGTGGCTGGAGGGTGGTGTCAGCTGGCAGCCTGGCATGCCCAAACTGTGCTTTAGGTCAGGCAAGTCTCCCATCAGAGATGTCCAGTAGCATCCCCCGGTGGCACAGAGACATGGTCTGGGGTGGCCCCAAGAAGGATTTCTAGGTATAATCCCATCCCAAATTCCAGTTCCTTATTCAGATCCATATACTTTGCACTGTGCTGGGCTGCTTTTAGTAGGCAGGCTGGCACAGCCAAACTGTGCTTTGGGCCGGGCAAGTCTGTGGTCAGAGATGTTCAGGAGAGTCTCCTGGTGCCCCCAAGGCACAGTGTGGGGTGGTCCAAGAAGGATTTCTGGGTATAATCCAAGCCCAAAATCCAGGTCCTCGTTTGGTTCCAGATATTTATCACATTGTCTGGGGGGGTGCTGTCTGTTCGTAGCCTTGCATGGCCAAACCATGTTTTAGGCCAGGCAAGTTTCTGTTCAGAGATGTCCAGGAGAGTCCCCTGGTGGCACAGAGACATGTTCTGGGATGGCCCAAGCAGGATTTTTAGCTATAATCCCAGCCAAAATCCAATTCCTTATTCAGGGCCATTAATTTAGCACAGTGCCTGGGGTGCTGTGTTTTGGCAGCCTGGTACAGCCAAACTGCACTTTGGGCCGGGCAGGTCTCTATTCAGAGATGTCCAGAAACATCCCGTGGTGGCACCAAGGTGTGGCCTGCGGTGGCCCAAGAAGGATTTCTGGGTATAATCCCAGGCCATAATCCAGTTCCTTATTCGGTTCCATGTATTTAGCACAGTGGCTGGGGTGCTGTCCGTTGGCAGCCTGGCACGGCCAAACCGCGCTTTGGGTCAGGCAAGCCTCTAGTCACAGATGTCCAGGACGGTCCCCCGGTCATGCAGAGGTATTCTGATGGATGGCTCAAGCAGAATTTCTTGCCATAATCCCATCCTGAAAGCCGGTTCCTTATTCAAATCATTATACTTAGTATAGTGGGTATGGGGGCTGTTAGTTGGCAGCCTGGCACGGTCAAATCGTGCTTTGGGCCAGGTGGGACTGTGGTCATGGTTCTTTGGGACAGCCCCCAAGTGGCATCGCCATGAAATTTGGGGTGGCCCGAGAAGCATTTTGCCCCATAATCCCATCCTAATCTGACCTTCGTTTAGGGCTCTGTACTTGATGTGACATATTAATTTATACATGAATTAGTACACACGCGTAGCTAATGAAATTCTGTCTCTTTAGGATGTGTAATTCATTAATAACAAGTTTTTATTGGGTTTAGATTAGCTTTGAAAAAGGAACCGGGAATAAGGAACTGTGAATAAGGAACCAACGTCAGCCTCATACCAATCCTTGAGATCCACACAGAAAGGCTTGATGCAGGTATTAGGAAAAATAAGGACCATTGGAAAGGGCTAAATAATGTGCCCTGCTGAAGGAAAACTAGATAAACTTGAAAATATAAGAAAAAGAGAACAGGAGAAAAACACAGAGGAGGAAAGGGTGCTAAATTCCTTGGCAATAAACTGTTGCCATCTTGCAACAAGTTTTCAAACATTTTCAAAGGACATATTTGGGGAATTACAGTGAAGGGAGCAAACACAACAACTATTTCTACCCTTTGAGAGCTGCATTTAGTTCAGTCAATAGTTAAGAAATAATACTCTCAAGAACAAATTTAACTACTTGCCACAATTCAGACTGATGGACTGTATAACATAAGATTGGGCAGGTCTTCCACACCTTTTGGTACTGGTGAAAGAGGAAGCAATAAAAGCAGAAATCATATGCAAAACTTAACACAAAAATAAATTACCATTCAAACTTACATGTGAATGTAAGAGAAACAATATGAAGTTTTTCCCATAAGCAATTAACAAGGCACTCTGAGAATGGTGCGATGAGGAACATGAGTTTCGCTCAATAGAAACAGAATTTAAAAGTATAAGCCAAAAAGTAAAACAAGCACCAGAGGTAATAACATCAGGAACTTTAAAGCAATTGCCAAAATTACTTAAAGAAAATAATCACAATAAGAAAACAATTGCTGCAGCAACAATATTCTTAGTGAGCAACAATTACTGTGCCAAAAATAAAGTAGGAAAAGCCTTGGAGGGAAAAATTAAAGTTAAGATGCTGCAATGTAGACTTTACTGCAAGGTTGAGAACAGATTTTGATGCAAACAGGTAGGAAATAAAGATGGAGAAATAAACTTTTACAGCAACTTAAAACAGTCTTGTAATAGCTGCCCTACAGGCCTGGGAAAAATGCCACCCACCAGCACACTCCACCCAATTCATGCAGGCAAATAGTCTCTGGTTAAGATCTTTGCTAACATTATAGTAGTTGCAATGTTATGTAATTTCAGTATTTCACAGACTTTAAAATATGTATGCTATGCCCTTCTTCTAGCAACTACAGAAAATCCAGAAAGAAACCGGAGTACATTTTTGTTATTCTTCCTTACCTTTAAAAATAACAGAAACAATAGGATCTGGTTTCCCAAACTTAGTTTTGGGGATATTCGTAGCAGATTCCACAATTACACGAAGCATTGCTTCCAATCTTGTACCAGACCACTGCTGTCAAAAGGAAACTTAAGAAAGTCTGTGCTTCAGCTCTCTGTGACCTCCTTGCTGTAATGCTAGGAGGAAGGGGGGAAAGAGGCGGAGGCAGCAATGGCAAGGAATAATTTGCTTACAGTGAGAAAAAGGACCAATGGGTGGATCTATGACGAGTTAGCTGCTAAAGGCTATGAAAAAAAGAGAAGTAGTGTACCTGTAAACTGACACCCTCAAGTCCTGTCCGTGCATAAAACAAGTATAAACTTGTGATTTCTAGTAATGGGAAAATGAAGGCAGCACAATGTAAGCCATGTTTATTTGGGGGGGGGGGGGGGGAAGGGGAAGAGTATGAATCTCATGTAATGTTCAGGGCAAAGTTAATACACTTCTGGTCAAAATTAAGTAAAAACCCAGCAGTTAAGACACCCCAGATTCTCCTTTTAGCTATCTATGCCATACCATTGAGCTTTATGGTATTCAACCCCCTTCATATCTTTGCTTCAATGTTTCATTGTTTTTTTGAATACTGTTGGCATTTCTCCACATTTTTTTCAGTTTCATGCATCCAAAAAAATATACACTTTCGAAAAGTAGAAGCACTCCCCCTTCTGTGGGAGTCAGGAACAACAATATTTTAAATAATCTCTTCAACAGCTATCCAGTCTTGTATTTAACACAACACCTTGTAAAACAAGTCCAACATCTTAAACAGCACTGATTGTTTATGGGCTATTAAAAAAAACCCTGCAGAAAATTTTAACATCAAATACACGGACGAACCCAAAGAGAGAGTGGAAAAAACCTTGTTTATTATTCGGGGCCTTTACACACTTGCTGCTAGCTCGAGACCACAGAACACCAGCATCCACTGAGTGAGACTTGTTGGAGCGGGTGAATGAAGAGAACAAAGAATTTGCCACACCAGCCAACTCCCGCCCGCCTAGTCCTGTCTTGCCCCATGTTTAGAGGAAGGCAAGCAGCCAAACCACACACCACGTGTCACTGGGAGATAAAAGGGCTTTTTTTTGTTTTTAAGGAAAACTGTGCGTGTCCAAAGGCTAAATCAATTCCAAATCCGTGAGTCATTCAAGAACCATACGTGGCCTCGCTACTGGCAAACATCCTCCACCCCTGCCCGGGGCTTTGGATGCTTCAAAATCATTTGGCAGGCGTCCTACGTGCAGGCCTAAGCCTGGAGGCTTGGGGTTTGGATGTCCCCGTGCTTTGCTTGCCCTGAGCCATCGGAGTAAGCCAGGGAGGAGTCTACTGGGAGACAAGCGTCCCTCCCACCTCTGCAGCAAGAACCCAAGGCCTCGTCTTTTTAGCAGTAGCCCAGTCCTTCCGTGTCCGGTGCCGGCTGGACTCGAGCCCTCGCACTGCCTTGCCGAGCCGTGCAGCGACACGAGGCTGCAGCTAGCTCCTTAAACCAGTGACCTTTCGCACCTGACGTCCCACCCTTCTGTCAAAAAACCCCAGGTCCCACCATGATAAAAACAAAACCCTGCTTTTTTTCCAAGAAGTGTATTTTTACGTTTACGTGCATTTTAGTACTATATTCATCGTTAATTGAAGTTTTCAAATGAGCTGAAGTCCCACGACGCATCCCACTGGTTGAGAAACACTGCCCGAAACCGACTCCGGGCTCTCACAAGGGAGGTCTCAGCCCTGCCGGCCCCTCAGGTGCCGAAACCCCAAGACACGGCGG